TGTGTGGTACTTTCCCAGCTTCTTCACTGAGTGATACCAGCTGAAAGGTTCTCTGAGCTTTTGCCAAGGCAGAATGTGTGTATTTTTTTGACCTCAAATATGAGTTATCATGGAAATATTAGGAGAGGTGTGAGATGGGTTGTAAAACATGGAATTATGCATATCTTAGAGAAACCACTTTATGATCCTGAAAACCAGCTCAGACTCTAGGAAGGAAGGGAAAGGGTACATTAGTTTAGTATCTTTGCTGTATTCAAAATAGCTGTGCACATGAACAGAAGGAAAAACTTGCAAAGTAGTGAAGGAATGAAAATAAAATTCTGCAGAGATTTGCTTTTTCATTCAGTGTTTATGGTGGTAATAGTTAGTGATGGAAGAACTGCAAAATATTTAGATTAATGTGGTATTAGTTTAGAGTTTCTGCCCAGTTTACATGCCTCCAAATTTCAAATGCATTGCAAAAAATTATCTACATTTTTGTGTCTGCAAAAGGTATACCGGATTCTTCATTAGGAGAGACTATTTGATAATGCACCTTGTGATTCTTTTTCTGGAAACTAAATCTGCAGTTAAGTTTAAACTTGAAGGATTGGGAATGAGGGTGTGCATGAGGAAAGACTGTGCAGAGAAATATGTAACATAACTTTCTCTGTAGCCAAGTCACAAAATAAAACAATAGGAAGCTACCAATTTGTTGAGCTGTTTATTAGGGAATCTGAAGAAGGGGGATATTGGCCTGCTTGAAAAACATTAAGGAAACCTGCTATTTATTATCCTCTATGAAAAACCACCCTGCTTTATGGTGTCTGTTTACTCTAGGGCTATTTTGTTTGGTTTGCTATGTGTATATTCAGTCTTTGTGATTCTCTTAATCTGGATTTTAGGGTGAGTACTTACAGCTCTTTATACTCTTTACCTAACACTGATCCAAGGAAAATTTCAGGTGAATTGGGCACAAAAATTTATATGGGAAATTTTCTTTTCAGTAAGTGCAGTTTCATTCAAAGCAAAATTTCCCCCAGAATATGTTGACTTCTTGTAGAGATTTGTCACCAAAGAAATTGTGAAGACAAGATTCAAACTTAAGCATTTTTAATGACACATGGTTTCTTTGTTTTAGAATAATTCTCATTTTAAAATCTGTTTCCAGTTCCATAGTGAAACATGGTCTCTAAAATCAAAATGGGGTAGAGGGGAAGCAGGGAAAAGGACAGACACCAGTATTTGTTCCCATTCATACTCAAAAAAAAAAAAAAAAGTGCCAATTTGCCATGGAATGGACAATTTGAGGTGCAATGAGCAGGAATCATCTCTTCATCTGTTTCTGTCATATTCCCTTGGTTTGGGGAAGAAAGGTCTTATGCTGATGAAGTTCATATCACCAGTGGTTTCAGAAGGAGAACCCACTTGACTGGGCTGTGTCACCAAGAGCATGAACTTCATGTGTCTCACATGCCTTTGTAGTATGTGGGCTGTCTGTGCCCAGAACATGGTGTTGTATTTCAAACCAGATTACCCAGTAGTAGGGCAAAATGTCTGGTTACAGCTGGAGACACAGAACTACACTGCTGTGCAAAAATGTGATGTTTGATAGGCATTAGAGGAGTTCTCAATGTGATATAGGAAGGGGCTAAGGTTTGTTGCAAGCTTTTCCCCAAACTTTTGGGCTCACACTTACTTTGGATGTATAGCCAGTGCCTCTGTCCAAGAGATTATCTTGCCTGTGATTTAAATTGTCTGAAAATTAAAGAAACAAATTATTACTACAAACTTGGTCAAAATGCTGAGCTGATTAAACTTCTAAGTAGTATTGTTTTTGGTCTCCCTACAAAGAAAAATAAGGTAACATTGTTGACGTGAATTTCTCAAATGTCTGAACATTCATCTCCCTTTAGAATCTGATTCTCCTCCTCTTTAGAAAGACACGAGACTCTAACATCATTACCTTGTAAGACTGGAGTTAGAAAAACTGTATTATCCTGCCATTTTAAGGTATAGCATGGTCTTCATAAAGACAAGGCTATCTATGTGAACTTCAGGTAATAATAGTAATAGTGAGCATTAAGCGCAGGCTGTGGACAAAACCTATCAGTGTTGTAGGATTTTTTCCTAGTTTTATTGGTACAATGTTATCCAAACCTTGCTGGTAGAAAGCTTGTAAAAAGGCTGACATAGAACCTTCACCCTCATTGTGTGTTGATTGGCAATGCTGCATCTGCTCAGGGAATGCTGTGGAGGGCTTTGTAGAGAAACTTATCCTACACAATACCAAAATAGTCATAAGCAAATTTTATGGTTCTTCATTGTAATCCAATATTCCCTAACACTTGGAATTTGTCTGTGCACACTCTTCAAGAACTCTTCCCAGCGGGTGTCTACCCCTCTCCATCCCTCTGCTAATGAATTAGGTGTGAAATAGTTAACACTGACATTCTCAAAGGTTGTCCAAGATAAGCCGAGTCACAAAAATGGTTGCCATTGCTTCAGTTTTTCTGTTGCAGATTCTAGACTAAAACTCTGTGCACATTAAATGGAAAGAGAAGCTAATTTTTGCATCCATAAATATTAGAGAAGTTCTTAAGCAAAGGCTCAGATTTCATGATGCCTCTCACATGCTCCATCATTTAGGGACATGTCTGACACTATTGAAAAAACAGAGAGCAGCTGTGCTCCTGAACATACTAATTTTGTGTGCCACTGTAGCCAGGACTGTGGTAGATTTAAAAATCTGTTCCAGAGGCTCTGAGTGCCAGCCAAGGTCCTGCAGAGCTGGCTGGATTTTTCCATTTAAAGCTTGTTCTCGTCCCCAGATGGCTTTGCATTGCTCTGGCTGGCAGCAGCAGGTGCGTGAGTGCCGAGTCATGCCACAGGAAAGGATCACAGAATAGAAATATTTCATCCTCCGTGTCTTGTTATCTCAGATGAGTTTGGGATAGCAATGCTGTTGTTCTAGGTAATCTGAATCTTTGAAGATCTTCTCCGTAGCACTGGGATTATACACCCAAAAAACTGTGTCCCCAAGCACAGGTGACATTTCTCACTCCAGTTTACATTTGCATTTGTGAGTTACAGAAGGTTTGATTAACCTCAAATTCTTTGCTATTGCCAAATGCTCACCTTGAAATGTCTGTGTGATTCAGTACAATCTCAGGTGCAATCTGGGTT